CCGCCTTCACCTTCTCGGTGAACGCGTCGCGGGTGGATGCCGCAGCACCAGCGGCCGGCACGGCTCGGGCTGCCACGCCAGCCATCGCGGTATAGAAGCCGCGCGCGCCGCACAACTCCACCACGCGCCTGCGCACGAAGATGGTTGAGCCCGGGTACGCTGCATCATCATCATCATCATCATCATCATCATCATCATCATCATCATCATCATCATCATCATCATCATCATCATCATCATCATCATCATCATCATCATCATCATCATCATCATCATCATCATCATCATCATCATCATCATCATCATCATCATCATCATCATCATCATCATCATCATCATCATCATCATCATCATCATCATCATCATCATCATCATCATCATCATCATCATCATCATCATCATCATCATCATCATCATCATCATCATCATGACCACCGCCGTCTTCACCATCATCTTATCCCAAAGCCTCCTCCTCTGCCTCCTCCCCCATCAACATCCTGATCGTCCTCGGCCCCTCCTCCGTTGCCGCCGAAAGCGCCCTAGAACAGTGATCCCCCCCGTCCACCAGACCACGGAGAAACCACAATCACTCCATTAGGGCGGCCACTCCGGTCGACTGCACGCCGGATCCTCCTCTCGCTACCACCTTGTCATTCGAGATTCTCTACTTTTCGAGTCCCCCTCATCGCCACTGCAAGTCGCAGCTCGGGATATCAATGGTTTCCAACACGGGCGACATCTGGAAGACCCCTTTCAAACGGAACGAGGCTGAAGTGGAACGGCAGGGCGCAGAGGATGAAGGAATAGAACGACGAAGAACAGAACAATGACTAAATATATCAATGTTCGGAAGTCCGTGAAGAATGCCTCGATCAGCGCTGCACCCCCCTGTAATAGCGCGAAGGCCACAAGCCCACCGACGCCGCCACTGAAATCCATTTCCTCTCCCGGCATCCCTCGCGGACCTCCTGACATCTACGAATACAGATGGAAAGCTAAAGCCCGGCAACAACAGCGCAATGTCATGATGACGGCGGTCGTCATCATGACAACCGCCGTCATCACCACTATCTTCTCCCAAATCCTCCTCCTCCTCCTCATCCTGACCATCCTCCTAACCTTTTTCATTGCCGACAAGTGAGCCCAAAGGGCCTTCGATAATCAGAGAGAACTGTGATAGCCTTAGATAGCCTTGAAAGTCTGGAGAGCCCTAGACAACCCTGCAGAGCTCTACATGTCTAATCAAAACCTTGGAGAGCCTTCGAACCACAGAAAGCCTTACCCTTTTACAAAGCCTTGGATAGCCATAGACAACCTCACAAAGCAATGGAGGGCCTTGGAGCGCCATGGAGGGCCCTGGAGAACATTAGAGAAACCTAGGACACCATAGAAAGCCTTAGAGAGCCCACGGGTGCCCGAATAAGTATTGGACAACCCCAGAGAGCATCAGAGAGCATTGGAAACCCCCAGAGAAAACTAGAAAGCCTGAGTTTGTTTTGGAGAGCTTTTTGAAAGCAGAAGAAAGCATTAGGAAACCATGGATAAGCCTACAAAGCCACAAAGAACCTTCGAGGGCCCTAAAGCGCCTTGTCAAACACCAGAGCGCCCTAGAGAGCCTTGGGGAACATTAGAGCGCCCTAGAGAGCCTGAGGCACTGGCCCCCTTTGAAAACCCCTCCCTCCTCCGAGACTCTCTTCCTCCGAAAACGCTCCCCGCCTCCGAAAACCTCCCAAACCCCCAAAGGAGCTACCCTCCTCCAAAAACCTCCCCTTCCTCCAAAAACGCCCCCCCCCCCCTACGAAAACCTCCCAGACTTCTCAAAACACCCCCCCTCGTCCGAAAGCGCCCCAGTCCTCGGAAAGCACCCCCCTCGTCCGAAAACCTCCCCCTCCTCCGAAAACCTCCCTGTCCTCCGAACACGCTCCCCTCCCCCGAAAACCTCCCGGTCCTCTGATAACACCCCCCTCCTCCGAAAACTTCCCAGTCCTCCGAAAGCGCTGCCCCCCTCCGAAAACCTCCCCCGGATTTTTTCAAAGAGGCCTCACATGAATCCTCCAACAGGGTGCGGGCAAAGCCTGCCGCGCACGTGGAAAACAGCCCAGCGCAGAATACACGTTTATAACACACGCGCGCACAAAACTCAGCCTGGCCGTTTCTGAGCGTGGCACGTATATAAAGTCTACCTGGCAATACTTGCCCGGAGCAGGTGTTATATCGTCGTCTCGAAGTATTTCGCAACAGACCCTGGGCCACGAAACGGCAACAAGGACGACGACGACAACGACCACGACGACGACGAGAGCGCCCGGAGCGGTTCAAATTTCGCTGAACCCAGAAGAACTGGAACCACTTCCGACGACAACGAACGACGACGACAACGACGACGACGACAGCGACAACGACGGCGACGACGACGACGGCGACGACGACGGCGACGACGACGGCGAAAGCGGCAACGGTGGCGTCGACGACGGCGGCGGCGGCAAAGACGGCGGCGGCGGCGACGACGACGACGACGACGACGACGACGACGACTTCACTACTCTGGAATCTCGTCGTCCGCGCGACGCGGTTCCGAATTCGCGCGGCCAAGCAGATTCTGGAACCGCGCCCGCCCGGCGACCCTGCCCCCTCTGCCAAGACCAGATCGTCGTCTCGAGTTGCTGCGCAACGGCCCCAGGGCCAGGAAACGGCCTCACGGCACTGACGACGACGACGACGACGACGACGACAACGATGGCGACGACGACGACGACGATGGCGACGACGACGACGATGGCGACGACAACGACGGCGATGACCACGACGCGGGCGCCCGACGCGGTTCCAATTTCGCGGGGCTCGACGGATTCTGGAACCACGGCCCCCCTGGACCGCCAAGACACTAATCAGGATAAGAAATCGGACTCAAGGCTCTGTATACTACGACCACGACGACAATGGCGACGACGACGACGACAACGATGACGACGACGCGGGCGCCCGACGCGGTTCCAAATTCGCCGAACCCCGCGGATTCTGGAACCGCGCCCGCCGGCCGACCCTGCCCCCCCTGCCATGGCCAGACCGTAGTCTCGAGCTACTGCGCAACGGACCCAGGCCCAGAAACGGCCTCACGGCCCTGACGACGACGATGACGACGACGAGGGCGACGACGACGGCGGCGACGACGACGACGACGGCCCTAGGGGAACACGAAGAACACGAAGTGGCCTACAGTTGGCTCCGGGCATTCAAAATGTGGCCCGGGAATGGTGTTCTGGAACACGAAGAACACGAAGTGGCCTACAGTTGACTCTGGGCATTCAAAATGTGACCCGGAAATGGTGTCCTGGGAACGCGAAGAACACGAAGTGGCCGACCGTTAGCTATGGGCATTCAAAATGTGGTCCGGAAATGAAGTTCTGGGAACGCGAAGAACACGAAGTGGCCTACAGTTGGCTCCGGGCATTCAAAATCATGCCCAGGACCGCGAGTTCTGGGAACTCGAAGACCACGAAGTGCGTTACTGTTTGCTTAAAACGAGTTCCCCGGCATCCCCCAGGATCCTGCCCGGACCCCCCTGGGGAGACACCCGCCGCGTTCTTCACTGTCGCCCCCGCTGGCTCACGCACTGTCCGCTGCCCTGCAGGCGTCGGCGAAGATCTCGTGCGGGTGCCCGAAGTACTTGCCATTCGCGTGGCGGCCAGACGCCTTCTTCAGCTGCCTGTCCGTCAACCCGACGACAGCGTCAGCGTCGAGCCCATGGAGCTGACCAACGAAGCACAAGTGCATCGTGGCCAGCGACGCGGGGAACCCCGCGCGGATGTACCCGAGCTTCCGGAGCACCGTCGTCACGGCGTCGCAGCCGTAGTGGCGGCCGAGAGCCTGGAGGTGACCAACGGCGTCCGGGAAGACTCCCACGAACTCGTCCAAGGTGACGTCGGGGCCGACGCTCAAGTGCAAGCCCCCCACCGACGCCAGCCTCTCAGTCTCCGTGAAGGAACGGAAGTACCACAGGTCGTGGTACTTCTCCGGGAGCCTCAGCAAGGCGCCCCTGTTGGCCCCATACTCCCTGAAGCTAGTCGGCGTCGGTAGGGCGGCGAGGAACGCGGTCAGTCTCGCCATCTCCTTATACTTCTGCACGCGCTGTTCGCTGAGAGGAGCAATCGCGTAGCAGTACCCCATCTGGCCCAAAGGCAGGGCCCCACTGGTGCCCTTCGCCACTTTCTTGATGAAGCCCCTAGCGGCGGCCTTGTTGAGCCACCCCATATGCTGAGAGACATTGTGCTGTACTTCACACGACCACCACTTCCGCCCCTTGTGGAACGAGGCCACGCTGGCGCTTCGAACAGCGTCGGCGAAGATTTTGCGCTGCACCTTCGCCGCCCCCCAGCACTCCTGCTCGACACCGGACGTCAGCAGCAGGAGCCGCGACTTCTCCGCCGCGGGGCGCGCGTCGTACGCGGCCACAAGGGCCCCCCACCACGGCCCCTCCTGGAGGCGAGGGGGAGGAGCTGCACCCCCAATTGGAGATGGAGGATCAGGGGAATCTAAATCGAGGTTCGATGTTGAAACCGAAACGAACAAGGCTCGGAACTTTCTACCCAGCAGAGCCCCTCCTCATCACCGCGGCTGGAGGCAACGCGGGAAACTGTTGCGCGTGGACCCCTGGAGAGATCCAGGCATCCATTGCGAGCGGATTTGGCAGAGCTCCGAAGTCGGATTTTTAATTACCAAGTTGAAACCGAAACGAACAAGGCTCGGAACTTTCCACCCTGCAGAGCCCCTCCTCATCACCGCGGCTGGAGGCAACGCGGGAAACTGTTGCGCGTGGACCCCTGGAGAGATCCGGGCATCCATTGCGAGCGGATTTGGCAGAGCTCCGAAGTCGGATTTTTGAGTAGGAAAGTTAATTGTAGTTTTCCGCCCCCGGAAAACTTCAACGGCTCCGAAACTGTCAAGCACCCCCCCAGGAGGCACAACAAACCACAATGGAGTTTTTGAAAACCCCCAGGGCCCCCAGATAGATAGAAGACCGAAGAGAGAGGAAACGAAACGGACGCGCGGCGGCGCCCGAATATCGGATCCTTGCCCTCGATGCCCAATTGCCACGCGCACGGGGCTGTCCTCACGAGGTGCCCGGCTCTGGCCCGCCATTCGGCAGCCGCCGTGAGGTCCCCAGGCTCGTAGCCGGAGGCCCCCACCCAGTCCAGGTAGCGCTTCGCCTTGCGAACGAAGTCGCTCACTGGCTCCCTCTTGGTCCGATCGTCCACGACGTCGCACC